CACTAACTTTGAAAAACAAAAAAAGAAACCTCCATATTCCCTATATATCATGATCACTATATACTCTAGATACATCAATGATATATTCATTCTATGGCATCATGAGCCCAATATACAATTACTGGACTTCAATAATAACCCTTATGGGTTACATCTCAACCTAGAACAACACAATCAAAGGGAAGCATTCTTCCTGGACATAGACATATGGTTAAATAACAGACGCATCACCACAGGGGTTTACAGAAAATGCACATATCTCCCCATTTTCATACCATCATGCTCTCACAATCCCTATTCTTTTAAGTTGGCTGCATTTAACATCTTGGTCCATAGAGCATATATATACATATCAGATCTGAGGCAAGGAAAACAAGAATTTGCCATCATTATAAACCAAGCAGTCAATCATAAAGATCATCATGGGGTTCATTGAACATCATGCTATGCATGGGCATAACACTTCTAGCTCCCAACCTACTCTGGATACATACAAGGTGGTAATGTATAATGCAACATTAGTTCCTCTATCCTACATATATAGGATAGAGGATATATATATATTTTTTTTATTAGCACAAAGTGCTGCCTGACACTGCAAAGCATTACCAGAAGGCTCCTCTATACAGAGAAATAGTCCACAACTACATCAACATGGCCTTCAAAAAGAGCCCATCCATATTTAATCTAATTAGAAATGCCAAAGACATGATGAGGTATATTCCATCCCCCTTATGAACCATAGATCCAACAAAGAATTACAATACATAAGAGCCACATATTGGTGCACAACCACCCACCTAAAGGAACAACATATCTAAAGGCCTATTAACCATCAGTGTATTCTAGAGACCTGTATGTGGAAGTCCATTTCTATTGGACAAATATCCTACATAAAACATTCATTAATATTAACCAGTAATTTGTACTTTCGGAACTTGAAAATAACATAATCAGTGTCAAGAGACCATAAAAACCTTCAACTTGGAGAAAATTCAAGTTAAGGAAATTCAAGTTGGAAATGCTAAATACCTAATTTCATAAATACACTCTCACCAAAAACTGGAACTGTAATATTCACAAATCACACCTAAATTCAAAATTTTCAGCAAATAAACATCAAAAAATACATGTCGAACGTTTTCGGCCACTGAATTTATCGGCCTTCCTCAGGAAATGCAAACTGGAAAACCATTCTATAAATAGAACTTAGCTGCCTTTTAAATTTTAAAAGAATGAAAAACGGCTGTGACGTATCATGTATGACGTATATTACGAGTCAAGATATCGTTTCCACACTGATGATAAAGGAATGACATCCGTGTTGATGCAGTTTCCACTCATGCTCGCCTTGTAGATCTCTACTGCTTCTAAAATTTTTATATTTTGCCTGCCGAAAACCTTGTGTATTAGCTTGGCCTGGTCCCAACAGAAGGAAATCCCCGGATCACTGGCATACTGTGCTAAAGCCGTATTGATGTTACCTTTTTGCACGTCATATTTGTGGTCTTTTAGTCTTGCTTGTAGCGATCTATATGTGGATCCTATGTAAGCTAGTAATCTGTCAAACCTCTCGTCATATAGTGGTAAATCCCAGGAGCCAGAGCATCTTCAGTGTCGCTTGACTCGTAATATACGTCATACACAATACGTCACAGCCGTTTTTCATTCTTTTAAAATTTAAAAGGCAGCTAAGTTCTATTTATAGAACAGTTTTTCCAGTTTGCATTTCCTGAGGAAGGCCGATAAATTCAGTGGCTTAAAACGTTCGACATGTATTTTTTGATGTTTATTTGCTGGAAATTTTGAATTTAGGTGTGATTTGTGCACCTAATTTCATTTAGTTTACATAGTAACAGGTCAAGTTTGTTATTCTCCATTTGATTTATCAGTGTGTTGTTTATTACCAGTGTTAATATGTTATTCATGCCATTTGAAGTTCTGATAAGGATCCTTTTAAGTACAATTGCAGATGTAAATGCCACTGTTGGGATCTTAACAGAGCTGCAGAGCATGTCCATAGCAGCAAAAAAGTCAAAGGAACCGTATTTGTAAATGTGGCCCTTCAAGAGATATAGCCCTCCAAAATCAGCCTACTTCCAGGGAGTCATACAACATAGTCCTCTAAGACTAATTGCATTTAATTATTCAGTCCAGGGCCATGTTCAGTAATGCAGAACACCTAAGTTAGAATTCTGAATGACTTAGTGTCAGAGCAAAGAATGTTCTGAGCATCATTGAATAATTATTCTTAGACAATTGGGCAAAATGGTGGACAAAGTTAAAATTAGATTGTAAATGAACTGATCATAAAGGATGAAGTACCCAATACAATTATTCAAATGGAAGCTGCATCATATTGTGATGAAATTAATGAAGCAATTGTTAATTGTAATCAACGAAACAAATCACTATGTTCCGCTAAAATGTATTCAGAATCTGTTATACCGACGTATGATAATTTTACATTTCAAAGTCATTTGAGAATGAGAGAATAACTTTGTGATTTTTATAATAAAAATACATTTAGTCCAACACCAACAGCCATCTTGCAAATAGTATGACAAGACAAAAACAATGACATCACTAGTAGAAGTTAGCATAGATAAAAGAAACTGATTGAACTAGCTAGAATTCTAGCAGTGGGAGGAGTCAAGCAGCAGTTAGAAATGAGTACAACATTGCAGCATAACTAGCCTTAGCATGAATTTTGCATTACTGAACATGGCCCAGGTAACTATGCCAGCTTTGATTAGCCCACTTGACCATCTGCAAAGTACTCAATGTTATATAGTTTTAGGTGTGTGGGAGCTCACCCCACACAGGCACTGAGGTGCAAGCAATAGCAAACACCAAAGTACGTGACTACACATAGAGTGTCAGTCGAGACAAGCCATTGCTCACCTTGACTGACATAGAGCACGGAGAACAGGCAATAGCACAGGTTTGTGGTGAAAACTCACAATAAAAGACAAAAGACTTATTTTTTTTTGTAAATTTAAATTTACTGTCCTGGACATTTTACGAAAGGTAAAAAATGTCTTTGGTCAGTAGAAGTTAATGTATTTATTATTTGTTAAGTAATTAAAGGCACCGGTTTCCATGCTTAAAACATAACTTGCTGGCAAACATGTGGCATCCACAAGATGACAACCAGAACTGACATCGTCAGGGTTTGACATTTGCCGACAAATATCTCACAACGTCAGACTTTTCTTTATTCTTTACTGATAGATATTGTTAGAATGTCTGATCACTAAGCTGGGCTGTCTGCTAAACATGCAATTGGCTTAGCTGAGACTCCCTACAGCACACAATGGCTCATAGTAAAGAACTAGGAGGACAAAAGTCAAAAAATGCATAACTGAAAATGACTCTTACATGTTTATGAATTAAGAAAAAACATTCCAACCAGTAAATTGCTATCAATAATTTTTAAAATACACACAGTGTCTTTGTTAACTAACAAAAAAGAATCAGTTTTATATCTCTTTGGAAACAATGTTAATGTTGTGTTTAGATTTGTTTTGAATAGTTGTTTTCCTCGCTATTTTGAGTGTTTTTATCAAATATTAAGATGGATAGTTATTGCCAAGATATTTATTTTAATACATATATTTTATTAATAATGGTCAATGGTAAAATTTTATAGAAAATAATTGCAAACCCAAGGGATTTTTACACTATTTTAAATAAGTAGAACTTTAAAACTTCTGCATCTTTTTTCCTACATTTTTCTATGTTTTAATTTAATTTTGTCCACATTTTTGAAGGTTTCCTAATTATGTCTAACAGATATTTGTTTGCAGAAACATGTGGATTTTGATGTATAATCATTTTTTGTTTCATGGGGCATTGACTTGTAGTTAGCAGGAGGAAACTTTTTGAAAAACTAAGAGAAAAAGATAAAATGATAAGCGGGTCATCCAAATTACAAAATATTATTGTAGACTACATTAAAGAAAAGCTTAATCTAACAAACAATTTTTGACAAAAAATCATTTATGGCTCAATGATAGGATAATTATCGAAAATGTTGATTTGCCACAAACTAATGCAAGCTGTGCAACACCACAAAAACAAATAATGGGACGTTCCAAAAAGGGCTTTTCGAAAACTGGACTGAGAGCAAAAATGAGAAAAGTTCAAGAAATCATTCATGATCAAAACTCTAATAATATTACTTATGCCACCGAGGTAAAATTAAGATTATCTGGAAAAAGAGACGCAGCATAGTAAAAAGTAATATGCAATTTCCAAAACCAGCGACAAGATCAAAAAAAAAAAAAACATAATTGACCATGGGTATAACACAATATATATTCCCCAAAGAAACTCTGGCTTTAATTACCTCCACAAAGTTAACTAAATCGCAACATATAACATTAAAACAAAGTGCTATAGAAAAAGGTGTTAATATTTATCCAGCCTATCACGGCATTAAGAAAGGAAAGAAAGCTCGTTATCCATCAGATGCCACTACTACTATTACAGAAAATAAAACTTATATCAAATTTCAAACTTTAGTGGACCTAACGACAGAACGTCTTTTTATCACTCTAATTAAAGAGTTTTTATCAAAAAGATAAATGTAATTTCAAGAATATTATCAACGTTTACAAGTGGAGTTTGGATGGTAGTGGAGGACAAAGTAAGGTTCATGTGTACACAGTGCCATATCTAGGCAAATGCAACAGGTGAACCCGCACAGGGCCCACTTGAAAGGGGGCCCAAAATGCATGTATTTGTTTTATTATTTTCCCAAACCTAATTAATTTAGGGGGCCTAAATGCAAATTCCTGCACAGGGAACAGGAATAGCCAGTTATGGCACTGCGTGTACAGGTATGGTTCCTTTGACGTTTTAGCTCCTACGGGCATGCTTTACAACTCCAGTAAGCTCCCAACTGTGTCATTCATTCATACTTGTAATCTTGCCCGTTTGGTTGTTTACAACGTGGCATTGTGATGAGCGTAATTTCCATACACACGATCACATACCGTATATAATTTTGGTATTGTCAGTCGTCCAACACTTAATTTAGCAGTAGGTGACTTAAACTAGCTTATGGAGTTAATGAAGCTTTTAAATTCGAGTAAATTGACTAATTGTTTTACTTACTGGAATGTCCGATGGTTTAGGTAGACAGTGCCACCTGGCATTCCGAATGTATATACAGTGTTTTATTTTTTTTTTTTAGAAAAATAAAAATATTTTACATTTAATTAATTTTTTTATTTATAATGGATATATTATAGATTATATTTCATTAAAATACAATTCCACGTTCTAATAATCTTATGCACTAAAACCTGTCCGTATTTCTTTCATGGTTTGCCTAGAATGCCAGATGGCACAACGTCTATTTCAAGGTTTTTTTTTTTTTTGTTTACTCTTTCCGCCTTGTGGGCACTAAAAGGGCCTCTTATAGCAGGCCCATTATGGGTTCGGCCAGGCCCACAATGGAGCGACCGGGAGGTGAGGGACGGGACCCGACATATCCGAACGGATCATCCCCCGAAAAATTCCTAGGGATTCCTTGACCCGTCCGGATTCGATCCCGGGTCCCCCAGAGCGGTAGGCTGCCACCTTGATCGCTCGGCCATCCGGCCGTCCTATTTCAAGGTCTGTAAATACAAGGTCTGGACACGATACCGTGATGCATTGCGGCAGTTGCCATATTGTGGTAATATATACGATGTTTGCGGAGTGAATTTAGTTCTTTTTTTCTATCTCAATTAACTGGATTTCTTCTTATATATTTGTATTTTAAATGGTTTGGTGTTAGGCACCGAATTGTAAGATTTTGTCAGCAAAAGGCATAAGATTGTTCCGTTTTTTTTTCGCTAATCAAACTAGGAGCGCGAAACGGCTTCAATGTTGCGGATGAACCGAGTGTAAACAACAGAATTCCAGGCTACATGAGGTTAATGGAAATGGATAAAATAATGTTGAAAATACAGTAATACCACGACTTACACTACCCCGACTTACGCGAACCCGGAGTTACGCGATTTTCAAATCTCGTCGATTCGTCTTTTGTTTGAGCGCCACGCAACTCTTGATTACTCACTCCCCCTACACTATTGTTCAGCTCACATGTTCGGACGTGTCGCGCGGAATCGACACATAGCTACAGTTTATTTTGTGTTATTTATTTCTGTGTTTATGATATTTACGGAGACTCGAGAGACTCTAAGTGGTGATTTCTTGTAACCGTAAACGAATCAAAAGACGAGATAAGATTAACGAGAACATTTATTAGCTTACATGCATCCGACTTGGATTTTACACGAATTGCGAAATTATACCCCGACTTACGCGAATTCGTCTTACGCGGTTATCGCTCGCGTAAGTTCGGGGTATTACTGTATAAATTTACGAAGTGTTCGCAATAACTGAATCTTTTAGATACGTTTTTAGCAGTCACAATTTGAAGTTAAAAGACCAGATGAGAGAAAATTATTGCTGCTAATCATAAAAATAAATGTGTAAATTATTGTAAATTTCTTGAATAAATGTCCATACGTCATCCATTTGTTTTAAATTATATTTCTAGTTATAATATTTGGTAAAATTTAAATTTATACGTAAAACTTTTCCATAAACAGTAATATTCATCTTAAACTAAACAGTAAAACATTGACGATGTATTCGCTTCACAGTTTATAAGTAAAATCTAGCCATGTACAATAATATAATGACCAAAAATCTTTACTAAAATAATGATAGAAAGTATGAAAACTACATTTGGTAAATAGAATCTATCTTTGTACTGTAATCTGTTAATCTTCATTAAACACATCCTTCAACTCTTCTTGTGTTTTCCTAGCGACATTCTTCAGTTAAAGATTTATTGGTGGATAATAAAAGTTTTGCGTGAACTAAGATACGAGAATGGCGTCAAACGTTATATTCTGACTCAAATTAAACATTACAGAATTAGAACTAATAATTCTGGAAATTCCTTCTTCAACATTTTATACCACAAATTACAGCTTCATTTAAAACCCGAAAAAAGAAAAAAAATTGTAGTTAATTGAGATTGTGTATTTATACGCATTAGCTAAATTAAAATAAAGTAAAATTATGTACAACTTTCAAACTGCTTCCAGCAACCATTTTAGAAAAGACATACAGCTTACATCCTAGGCCATTTATATACATATCATTCCATTTGATAATAAAGGTTCTCTGAAAAAAATCTCGTATTCTGCCTCGTAAGTTACCTTCTGTTTTTTCTTCCCAATATAATCATCAATGAGATTTTCATATTAAATCAAGGCTATAAAACAATGTTAAATTTAAGGATGTGGCTGTTTAAACATACTGTACATATACGCAATTGGCTATTTATACATACTGATTGTATGTTCCTATATTCCGGCCAGATACTGACTGTATGCGCTATTATTACAATTAATATTGATATTTTGTTAATAACTACACAATTATAAATACTGTAATTATAGTTTTATTTATTAAAGTTCATTTACAATGTTGTTCAGTAAAGTAATCAATAAACTATAAAGTATCATTAAATTAGTGAAATATAGGTAATGAAATTTAAAGTAGATTAGTAGGCATGCCAATAAAATAAAATAAATATATTATTTTTTATTCTGTATTTTAATTTTTTTTCTGGTAAAAAGTGGTCTGCTTAGTCTTTCTCTTCGGACGTCCTTTGGATTTAATTTTAGTTTTGAATTTTAAGATTTTATTTGATTGATTTGAAGAGGGCTCGTTATTAGACCGAATTTGTTCTTCAAGTTCTCTGGTTCAATTGTACTAAGCCCACTACTTTCGTGTTTAAAAAAAGAAATTCCATTTCTTGCATTGCTTTCTATTACTTTTAATTCCTCTACATATTTATTGAAGGTTTGCATTCCATAATTAGACAAAATATCTGCAATATTTTTAGTTATCGACATTGCCGTATTACATTTTTTTCTATCTGATAATATTTTGCTAGGACAATCAAAATCATCAGTAAAAGTTTCATCTTCAATATGATCATCGATGTCTACATTTGCATCATCTGTATCCGTACTTAGTGCATTTTCAATTGAAATAATATATCTTGCATAAAAGCAATTTTTGAAAATATGTCCAAATTATTATATTTTTTTATCATAAGAATATGATCGCATGGTGCACTAAAAGAATTCCAAAATGAACGGGAACATGTTTCCACCGAGGGATTATAAAAGTTTGATATTTTGCTATCAAAATTTTCCTCAATGACATTATTTTTAATTCTCNAAAGAATTCCAAAATGAACGGGAACATGTTTCCACCGAGGGATTATAAAAGTTTGATATTTTGCTATCAAAATTTTCCTCAATGACATTATTTTTAATTCTCATTTCTCGATAATCGATATCATAATTAGGATATCGATAATCGAAATTTAGGATATCATAAATTATAAATAACATTAAAACCGTCATCTTTACGTTAAGGCTTTAAAAGGTTTAAATAGCCAATTGAGTATATATATTTTATGTATAAATAGTCAATTG